CAGCGCATCCCGAGGCTGGAAAACCGCCGAAAATTGACGAAGACGCTTCGAAACCTCGAACATCGAACCTCGAGCCTATCCCCCCTAAGGTTGCCCCTGACTACGAGGCCTCTGCCTAGAGGCCCAGCAGCCTCCGGGGAGACAGATGCCCGGGCCCGCTGGGCCGGCGGCAGTTGGCCACGCCACCCAGGAACTGGCCGTCGGCCATCTGGCACAACTGGTCCCTCCAGTCCTGTCCAGCACCGCCGATCTTGACCATCTCTTCCTCCTCCTCCTCCTCCTCCTCCTGCTCCTCCTCCTCCTCCTGCTCCTCCTCGTCCTTCTGCTCCGCCTCCTCCTCCTCCTCATCCTCCTCCTCCTCCTCCTGCTCCTCCTCCTCCTCCTGCTCCTCCTCGTCCTCCTCCTCCGCCTCCTCCTCCTCATCATTATCATCATCAGCATCATCATCACCATAATCCTCACCCTCATCGGCATCATCATGATCAGAAACAGCAAGATCCGCATCCTCAGCCTCACTCTCATCATCATCATCATCATCATCATCATCATCATCATCATCATCATCATCATCATCATCATCATCATCATCGTCATCATCATCATCATCATCATCATCATCATCATCATCATCATCATCATCGTCAGCATCATCATCATCATCATCATCATCATCATCATCATCATCCGCATCACCATCAACATCAGCATCATCATAAGCATAAGCATCATAATCATCAGCATCGCCATCGTCATCATCAACATCAGCATGACCATAAGCACCATGATCACCATAATCATCATTATCACCATCATCATCAACATCATCAGCATCATCATCACCATCATCATCATCATCACCCTCCATATCATCATCATCATCATCATCATCATCATCATCAACAACATCCTCATCCTCATCATCCTCATCATCACCATCAGCAAGCATCGTCATCAGCATCAGCTTCATCATCGTCACCACCAGCAGCAATATCAGCAGCGTCCCCCTCATCATCAGCGCCCCCACCACAATGATTAATGATGAATGCTATCCTAATCAGAATCACCATCGCCATTACCATCACCATCATCATTAGAATCATCACCACCATCAATGACATCATCATCATAATCATCCTCGTCATCATCAGCATCATCATCAGTGTCAGCATCCTTGCCCCCCCCCCCCCCACATCATCGTCACAGTCATCATCATCACCATCAAAAACATCATCAGCAGCAGCAGCAGCATCAGCACTCATCATTTACAGCATCATCATCACCATGATGATGATCATAATCATCGGCATCATCATCAGCCCCATCATCAGCAGCAGCGTCATGATCAGCAGCGTCACAATCATAATTCATCATTACCAGCATCATCATCATAAGCAGCATCATCATCATAAGCAGCATCACCATCATCATCAGAAGCAGCATCGGCATCAGCATCATGAGCCTCAGCATCAAAAGCATCATCACCCTCATGATCCTCAGCATCCTCAGCATCATCAAAATCGACATCACCAGCATCATCACCGTCGTCGTGGTTATCATGATCATCAACATCAGCATCATCTCCATCACCATCAGCATCACCATCATCAACATCATCATCAGCTTCATCATCTTCATCATCAACATCACCCTTATGATCTTCATCAGCATCGTCACCATGGCCATACACACCATGATCACCATACTCGTTATAACACCATCATCATCACCGTCATCAGCATCATCCTCATCATCATCATCATCATCAACATCATCATCGTCATCGTCATCAGCATCATCATCCGTCTTCACAAGCATCCGCATCAGCATCAGCATCAGCATGAACTTCGTCATCATCGACAGTATCATGTTCCTCCTCGGCCTCCTCCTCCTCCCTCGTCTTCCTACTCGTCCTCCTCCTCTCCCTACTTCTCCTCCTTCTCCTCCCTCTCCTTAATTACCCTCGTACTCCTCCTCGTCCTCCTAATATTCCTCTTCCTCCAGCTCCTCCTCGTCCTCCCCCTCCACCTCTCCCCTCTGCACCCGCTTCCTTCTCTTCCTCATCATCCTGTTTCTGACTCTATATCTCAATCCCCCTCTCCCTCCTCCTCCTCCTCCGCCTCCTCCTCCTCGTCTCGTCGTGTTCCTCCTCGTTCTCCTCCTCCTCCTCGTACTCCTTCTCCTCCTCTGTTCCTATGCCTTATAAAAACTCCTCCCTGTCGCCCCCCGAAGCCAGTCGAAAGGGCGGGCCAAGCGTTTCGTCTGAGGCTCCGTCAACATGTTTGACCAAGGCGCTCAAATATTGGCAACCGTTTCACGGATTGAGGGCGGGTCGCTTTCAAAATATGTATCTCGCATCAGCGCCGCGAATACTAGTTTCAAACATTTGCATGAGTTTCGCGGATTGAAGACGGGTCGTTGTCAAAATGAAGCTCTCGCCATAGAGCCGCGCACACTCGTCCTAAGGAATGACAGTAGCTCCACGGATTGAGGGCGGGTGGTCTTGCAAATGTGGCTCTCGCTTTTGCGTTGCGCACACTCGCTATAAATAGTTGCAAGACTTTCACGGACTGAGGGCGGGTGGTTTTTCAAAATGTGGTTGTCGCGTTAACGCCGCGCTCATTCGTTTGGAACATTTGCAAGAACTTCACGGGGTAAGGGCGGCCCCCTTTCAAAATGTGGCTCTCGCCTCAACGTCGCGCACACTCGTCTTGCACGTTTACAAACACTTAACGGGCTCCCGTGGTTAACCAATCAGAAGGTATGTTTGGGAACGGTTCAGGATTTCGGGGGCGCAACTGTTACGCTGATTCGCGGAGTTGAAGTCCACGGAATGACGTTGTGGCACGAAGCAAGATCGTCAAGACGTAACAATCAAATTAATTCGTGGCGTTGAAGTCCCGGGAATGCTGTTATGGCACGCTTCAGGATCTTCAAACGGTTGTCTTCCAACGAGTCACTTCCTTCAGTGGAAATGAATCTTTGCAGGGGCCTATGAAGAGGGAGCGTGGGGGAGGATTTCTTCCAACATTCTTGATGAGTCTTGGGTTTGCAGTGATCCTCTTCCGCCTCCTCCTCCTCCTCCTCCTCCTCCTCCTCCTCCTCCTCCTCCTCCTCCTCCTCTCGTGGCTGCAGTCCTGTCTGATGCCAGGGATCTTGTCCAGCACCTCGCCCCAATCCCCGTGCTCACCTGGGGGTCCGCCAATCTGCCCGCCGCTCTGTGCCTCCCTCCCCCTCTCGCCCTCCGGGCCCTCTCTCCCCTGCGAGGTGGGGGGGGGAAGGTGGAGAGATTGGCGGAGCGCATAAAGGGGGTAGGGGGAGAGGGGAAGGCTTCTTAGGAGGAGGCTGCCTCTTAGAAGGCGCGGGCCTTGTCTGCAGATGTAAGGCCCGCGCCTTTTCAGAAGCAGCTTCCAAATTCTAAGAAGCCTTCCCCCCTCCCCCAACTCCCGTCTGCGCGTGGCTGAGGGGAACGGAGAAGCCGAAGGTGGAGAAACATGTTTTTTCCCCTCGAAGGTCCCGAAGCAAAACGTGACCGGAAAAACATCATTAGCGGGCGACGCGGGCCGCCAGCTCTCTCGCCTCGGCACGCTCAGCCAGAGCCAGCATTCCACCGGTAGGAATTAGGCTTGCGGAGTTTGTGCTGGGGGGACCCGTAACCGAGGGAGCAGGAGGAGGAGGGAGGATGCGAGGAGGAAGAGGGGGATGAGCAGGAGGAGGGAGGAGGATAGATCAGGGTAAATCAGAATATGGGGCATGCTCCCTCGCAGCCTGCAAAAACTGAGAGCTTCAGCTTGACGAGAAGCCCAGAGAACCCAACACTGCTATAAATAAGAGTACTGTGTTATTCCTGTGCGATCGCACACAGGCAGCCGAAACGGAGGCAGCAAGATGTCCCCCACGAAGGGCACATGGAGGCCAACCGGTACACATCACTCTGGGCAGAGGGTGTCCTCCCTCTGGGCCTGCATGTCAAAAGCCTCTCGTGCACGCTCCTGGCGGCACAATTCGACCGCCTCCCGCGGATCGAAAAAGCCACGCAACGCAGCGATCATGTACATATCTGGAGGGTCGGGTACTTCTAATAATCCGTAGAAGGTATCAAAACTGATCCTGACCCCGAACCCGCATCGGAAATTCGCAACTGCCCCACCCATTGAGATCGAACCTCCAAGGGAGGCGTACAGAGAGAGTGGGGACTTGGTTGAGTTGAGTTGGGTTGACCTGAGTTGAATTGAGTTGAGTTGAATTGAGGCGGAGGAGGAGAATGAGGAGGAGGAGGAGAAGGAGAGGGGGAAGATGAGGTGGCGGCGGCGGCGGAAGAGGCGAGGAGGAGAGGTCGGCCAGCAAGACAAGGAGGAGGACGACAGGATCGTACGCCGCTGAGGGGAGAAAAGGAGAGAGGGAGAGAGAGAGGGAGGGAGAGAGAGATCAGCCCATCGGAGAAGACCATGTTGCACCACAGAGCTGCTACGCCTGGCCGCCCCGTGGGCCCGCTGGACCCCCTATAGGAAACTACCCTGGCGAGAGACCCACTCCGATCGACACGCGTGAGAACTATAGACAAGACCGCTCGATGCACAACAACTTCGCCACCGAACGGCGGACCAAACTCGGGACACACTCGCGCGACCCGAATCAGACACAATGCATGCGGCGCGCAATACGAGATCGGGGACAGAGGAAGCAGGAGGAAGGATAACTTGGGGAACGGATGATTGATACAGCGCGGCGCGCGGAAATTCGGGTAGGGGGCGGCGCGATTGCGCCGCAAGCTAACGATTCCCTGGCGGGCTCAGGAAGGCGAGTCACCATGCGGACGCAGCCGCTGGGGCCTTCGGCGGAGCTCCCGATGGGGCCACGAAACGTGTGAGTGGTGCGCCAGAATGAACCAAAGCCACCATGCGGACGCAGCCACTGGAGCCTTCTGTGGAGCTCCCTGTGGGGCCCACGAAACGTGTGAAGGCTGCGCCGACATGAAGCCGAGTCACCATGCGGACGCAGCCAGTGGGGTCTGCGGTGGAGCTCCCTGTGGTGCCCACGAAACGTGTGTGAGTCGTGCGCGGGAATCGGGCGGGTCACCATGCCGACGCAGCCGCTGAGGCCTTTGGTGGAGCTCCTTGTGCGGCCACGTGTGAGCGGTGCGCCGCCATGGGGCGAGTCACCGCGTGGACGCAGCCAGCAGAGCTTTCGGCGGAGGTCCCCGTGCGGACGCGAAACGTGCGAGGGGTGCGCCGACATGGGGCCAGTCACCATGCGAGCACAGTCGCTGTGGCCTTCGGTGGAGCTCGCTATGGGGTCATGAAACTCGTCACGGGTACTCCGGCAGCTTGATGACGATGGTGATGACGACGACGGCGACGGTGATGGTGGTCATGATGATGTTGATGATACTAATACTGATGACGATGCTGAGTCAGGCGATGATGATCATCATGATGATGATGCTGAGTATGATGAGGGATGAGGATGATGATGATGATGATGACGATGACGATGACGATGAGGATGATGATGATGATGATGAAGATGATGATGATGATGATGATGATGATGATGATGATGATGATGATGATAGGGACGGTGCTCATGATGATGATGATGATGATGATGATGGTGATGATGATGATGGTGATACTGAGGATGGTGATGACAGTGATGATGAAGATTATGGTGATGATGAGGATGAGGATGAGGATGGTGATGATGATGCTGGTGATGAGGAGGATGAGGATGTCGATGATGATGATGATCGTCACGAATACGAGGATGCTGATGATGATGGTAATGAATGGTAAGGATAGGGACGGGGATGAGGATGGTAATGATGATGGTTATAGTGGTGATGCCGATGATGATGATGATGATGATGATGATGGCCAGGATTAGGATGACGACGATGATGATGATGATGTGGATGCTGGTGCTGCTTGTGATGATAATGCTGATTGTGATGATGGTGGTGATGATGAGAATGATAATGGCAACGATGATCATGCTGCTGATTGTGATGGTAATAGAGATGATGGTGATGCTGATGCTGCTGCCGCGAATGATGATGACGATGATGGTGATGGTGATGTTGGTGATGCTTGTGATGTTGGTGGTGCGCCTTCCGACGATGATGAGGGTGATGATGAAGATGCTTATGAAGATAACGCTGATTATGCTAGTGTTGATGATGCTCATGATGCTGATGGTGAGGGTGATGGTGATGAGTATGGCGTTGTTGTTGATGATGGTTGTGGTTGAAGTGATGCTGAGGATGCTGGTGAGTATAATGATGATGAAGAGGATGAAGAGGATGATGATGATGATGATGATGATGATGATGATGATGGTGATGCTGAAGATGGTGATGCTGATGGTGGTGATGATGATGTCGATGGGTGATGGTGTTGATGATGCTGGTAAGGATCAGGGGGAAAACGAAAGAAGGAAGGAGGAGGGGTAGAAGGAGGAAGGAAGGAAGGAAGGGAGGAAGGAAGGGAAGAAATGCGCGGCGCTGCGAATTCAAAACGAGGGCCCAATACACAGGAGGGTTGGGAAAACTGGTCACCACCTTCTTCGCCTCCGAGTGGGCGGGTGGTCCGCTCTCGGCGCTTGGGGCCGAGGCTCTGCGCCTCCCCCGCGTTCAGCCCGAGACCTGGAGGCCCTCTGCCAAGCAACCGTTGTGCCTGTTCGTCCCCATGGTGGGCCCCTGGGCCCCGACAAGCTGCGCCCTGCTCCCTTTGTTCGCAACCATCCTGTGGAGCTGGGTCCTCGCTTTGACGAAAGACAGCGCCCCTCGTCTCCTTCCTTTCTTCCTTCCTTCCTTCCTTCATTCCTTCCTCTCCTCCTCCTCCCCCTCCTCTTCTCTCCTCCTCCTCCCCCTCCTCCCTCCTCCCATCCCAGACCCCATCTCTGCCTTTTACCATCCGCATGTCACTGCTTTGGCACACCCCTTACACATAGCCCAATCAAAGGCCTCAGTGGCAGCGCCCGCATGAGCGCCCGCATGCGGGTCTACCCGATTTCAGTGCACCACTCACACGTTTCGTGGCAGCGCCCGCATGCAGTTCCACCCTCCACTTGGGCATACCTCTCAAACGCTTCGTGGCCCCATAGGGAGCTCCACTAGAGGCCCCCGGGGCAGCGCCCGCATACAATTCCACACCCATTTCGGCGCACCCCTCACACGTTTCGTGGCCACATAGGGAGCTCCACCGACCCCCCAAGAGGCAGCGCCCGCACGCAGTTCCACCTCAAATTCTGGTACAACCCTCACACGCTTCGTGGCCACATAGAAAGCTCCAAAAAAGGCATCAGCGGCAGCGCCCGCATGCGGTTCCACCTCTATCTCGGTGCACCCTGCACACGTTTCGTGGCCCTATACGCGGTGCACCCTACACACGCTTCGCGGCCCCACAGGAAGCTTCACCGAAGACCCCATGGGCAGCGCCCGCAAGCAATTCCACCTTCCATTTCGACACACCCCAGGCTCCTCCGAATGCCCAAAAAAACAAC